AGTAGAGAGCCTCCTACTATATGTGAAAGGGGAGATGGAGGAACAGGCAAGAGGGAGGCAGGAAGGGCCAGGCACGGAGGATGAATTTGAGGAGGGAGGGCAAAGTCTGGTGCCTCCTTGGAAACTGTCATGCTTGTCGGGTAAGAATAGTGACACCTCAGCCTTGCCTTTGACTCACATAGACCACTTCTTAGGGTAGTGCTTAAAACCACAGCTCTGAGGTTGCTAAAAATAACCCTAACACACAAGATTCACTATCATTGAAAATGCAATTAACCATGAAAATCCAGGCCAGGTTTCCTAGATGTGAGGGGAAACTTCCTCTCATTTTAGTTGAAGCAGATCACAGTACAAGGCTGACCCCTGGGCAGGAGCCCAGGCCAATGTTCCAGGAATCTTCTAAGGTAGGGTCGTATTGTTTGTTATGTTTCCAAATGCCCAGAAGTGTGTAAGAGTTGATAGATGTTTGTTGAATGAATTAATTCTGAATGATAATAGGTCATTTTCTGGTCTCTCGTCCGGGGAAACATCATAACTAGAGCAACAAGCCTCTTCTCTTTCTCCCTCCAAACTAATGCCCCTGCTTTGCTATTGAGGGTAATTCCCATTCCTACACAGTTGGAAATGTGCCAGCTGACATGATAATGCCTCATATTTATGTAATACTGTGGCTGGAAGGAGATTGGATCCTTTTGAAGGGTATGATCCATTCCACAATAGTGCTGGAAATTGGATATTATTGTCATCCTCATTGTGTATGCAGAACCAGGAGACCCTGAAGTAAGGTTAATGACCTGCCCAAGGTCACTGCACCTGAGCAGCCCAGCCAACCTGAAAAGCAGGCTTCCTGATGTCGGGCTGGCTCCGTCCCATGGTCCTTCCTGCTCTCTTTGGCTCCTAACACCATTTGCTGCAGAGCACATCTGTGAGTTCTGCTCACTTACACATTTCCTGGTATCTGATACTCTTTCACTCCCCATCAAACACATTTCCAGTGTGACAATTACCCTACCAGCCACTCCAAGCAGGAGGATTTGAAAGGAGGGCTGCTATTTTCCATGAGTGCAATTATTTATGTGCACAAATAATTCTGCACGTAATTGGCTAATGGAGAGTGCAATCGGCCACATGTGGGCATAATTAGCCACTTGCCCCTCATTTGGAGGGTATAATTATCAAAGCAGGCAATTTTATATCTGCAGATAATTGTACAGGAGAGAAAGACTGCTAGGAAATCAGATCCTTAATTACTTTTCATGTCCGCATTTCCAGAAAAGCGTTTGAAGGTAAAAGTAACATTCTCTTTCCAATTGCCAGCTCAGATCAACCACCAGATCTAGTGGAGGAGGCAGAGAGCAGAACAAGCCAGAATCCTGTGGATGAAGCTGAGGTCTGAATCACTGCTGCCAGAAAACCCCAGCAACCAATTACCCTGAACATTGCTGAGGCCCTCCTAGTGGTCAGCCATCTGCCTAGGCAGACAATAGGGCTGCATTTTTCTCCTTTTCTGTATTGTGTATCATCTTTGTTTTAGCTGTTTTAATGTTTTCCTCACTTTGTGGTTTTATAATCTCAGGAATGCCAGTTGGCTTGGCACAGTAAATGATTTTGTTCACTGCTGGAAGTAGGTCATTTAAAATGCTTTAACGATACCTTTAACTAGTCATTTATCCGGAGATGTACATAGAATAATAAATTGGGGATATGTCTCTGTGGTTCTTCCAAGATCTTAGGTGACAGAGATGTTACAGTCTCTGCCATATCCCCCTGCATTCTGTTTAAACAACGCTGTAAAACTTTTCCCACTCTCCCACCCAAGCACACAAAAATACACTTGCTAACAGCAGATCCTAAAAATACATGTCACATGCAAGCGCAAGGGAAATTTGTTAAAACATGAATTTACTCTTTAGGAATATGCAAGCTGAATAATTTTTTTAAAAAAGAAAGTCCAGGGCCAGGGATTTAGCTCAGCGGTTTGGTGGCCTGCCTTGCAAGCACAAGGACCCGAGTTCAATCCCTGGTACCAATAATAATAATAATAATAATAATAATTTTAAAAAATAAAAAAGAAAGTCCAAATCTCTTATTACACTATCCCTCATCTCCCTCCAAGTATTATCTTCTGGGGGAAGCAGTATAGTACCATGGTTAGGGGACAAGGTTTTGGTGCTGGAAAGACCCACATGCCAGGACCCTGGTACCTAATAATAATAATAATAATAATTTTAAAAAATAAAAAAGAAAGTCCAAATCTCTTATTACACTATCCCTCATCTCCCTCCAAGTATTATCTTCTGGGGGAAGCAGTATAGTACCATGGTTAGGGGACAAGGTTTTGGTGCTGGAAAGACCCACATGCCAGGTTTGACTCTGTCACAGCCAGTTGTATGACCTTGGATAAATTATTTAAATTTTCTGACTCAGTTTCCTCATTTGTAGAATGGATGTTTTGTTTTGGTACCGGGGTTTGAACTCGGGTCCTTGTGCTTGCAAGGCAGGCGGCAGAACCATTGAGCCAAAACCCCAGCTAGAATGGATGTTCTAAGGATTAAACAGAATGCAGATAAGGAAGTGAACACAATGCTAGGTACTTTGTAAGGGCTCAAATACATGTCATCTATTATTACTATTAAGAGACTCACTCATCTTTTCATCTCTAACACACCTTCTCTGTCCTGATGGGACATTCTAGGTTACCAGGCATCTTAGGTTACATGTAGATACGGGCCTCGTCTCCCCTACTAAATGGATAAGAATGTTGTCCTCCACGTCTTTATAATCAGCGCAGGTCTTCCATAACTGACCATGAATGATTTTCCACCTATCACGTGACATCTCACTCTAACATGTGCTAACCTCAATCGCAATGTCACACTTGCTTCCATGGAGTCTAACTTCCACCCTTCCCTCCTTGGTCACTTTCCTAGATTGGGAGGATGTGTTTCTAATCTTCAATTTCACCTTTTCAGTTTTATGATTTCTACGGTCAACTCATTTCTCACGCTTTAAGCACCTGAAGACCTTCAGTTCTCTTTGACCTTGATAGCGCCTTTCTTCTACCTAGCCAAGGCACACTTGTGAACATCTCTTTCCAAGCCTTCAGCTTGAATCCAGCTACGGTTGGACAGTTTACATCATGGAAATAAGCAAATGCTACACATCAAGGCTTCTCTTCACCCTCAGGAGAAGTAATTAGCCATTTTCTAGTACAAAATTGCATATATTACATCTATTCATGTCATAACCCTTGTCTCTTGCACATAACTACTCCCCATCATTCCCTATGTTTAAAAATTAATTTTGCTGGTATACTTTTGACATACACAATGATCACATTCATCATAGGGAATTTGTACCTGTACATAATGTATCTTACTTTTTTTCCCACTCCCTTTCCTTCCCTTCAATCTTTCTTCCCCTCTCCTTTTACAAAAGTTGATTTCAATTGTTTTCCTTTCATTCCTTTTAATTTTATATGCACAGGTACAATGACAAATTGTGATAACTGTTGTCACCTTTAACCATAGGTATAAGATTATAGTTATATAACAAAATATATCTATAACAAAATCTAAAACAAATCATCAAATTATATACAATAAACATCCTCTCAGTAGAGTGATGATTGTATCCTCAGGGGAGAAAATTTAAAGGGGGAAAAATAGAGAAATTCAAAAAAGAGAAAGAGATTAGAGGCAAATTTAAAAGTCAAAGGAAGATTACTCAAACTTTGGGAAACTGGTGAAGACAAGAGGGAAAGAAAGAAGAAAAAATGGGCCTGGGAATTTGGCTCAGTGGTTCTTCACCTGCTTCACAAGTGCAAGTACCTGAATCCAATCCTGGTACAAACAAACAAACAAAAAAACAAAAAAAAAAAAAGAAGAAGAAGGAGGAAAAACAAAGCACAAACACTAAAAACAATGTTCACACTCATAAAAAAACAAAAAAAAATCAAGGAAAAAAAAATCAAAGAAAAAAAGATTTTTTCTGTGATTTCAAGCTGTGACTATATTCTGAGGTCTACAGTTTTGTGGTAGTGTCGAATTCAGGGGATGTCTCTGCTGTCACTGGCAGACAAAGGAGGCAGACAGAGCCCAGATCCATGCTGGATAATTCCAGCAAGCCTGCAGTGAGATTAGGGCAGATTGATGAATAATCTTAGAAAGCCTGAAGTAGGAACAGGGTAGGATGCCAATTTTGGTGCTTTCAACCCCACAGAAGTTCAGGCTGATCCTGGGCTGTTGTTGTGGGGTTGAAGCCTGAGTATTTAGCCTACAGCACTCTGGGTGTCTCTCACCTGTCTGACCTTAGCTCCTTGAACCTGGGTGTCTCCCATCATTGTCCCTCACCCATTTACTGTACAGTTTCAACAGTGGTAGCCCTGAGATTTAGCCAACCCATGGCAGCTTTGAGTCCCAGGTTCAGTTGGCCCCTCCCTAAAATGGCATTTGGCCAAGCACCCTCTCCAGGGGAGCCAGCAATCACTTTGAGTGGAGTCACTCACCCACTGTGCTAGTACATAGAATCTAGTGCTCCACTTCACTGGTGCATTTCTCCCTGAATGCCTCTGGAGTCAGCTGCCCTCACTATGTCTTTGAAGATTTGCCCCTCCTCTCTCCTACTGTGTCCCAGGACCTGGGAAGAAAGTGCAGTTAGCTATCTCTTTATTTTGTATTGTGGTCTGCCTTTTCACTTTCTCTCTGGGCTCCAATTTTCCCTTCAGATCCTTCCTGATTCCTGGGGATCCACCCCCCTCCTGCTATTCTTTTCCAAGTTGTTATTTTCCAGTATTTGGGTTCTGAATCTCAGAGGCATCAATTTGTTGATGTTTATCACTGTGCCATCTTCCCGGAAGCCTTCGATCATTCCCTATTGATTTTATGTACTTTCTTATTTTGTACTCCAAAGTGAGCTCTTATAGTAATACATTGTCTTAGTCTGTTTTCTGCTGTTAAAACAGAATACCTGAGACTGGATAATTTAGAAAGAATGGAGGTTTATTTCTTATAGTTTAAAGAGTAGGAAGTTCAAGATCATGGGTCTGGATCTGTTGGGCACCTTCTTGTGGGTCATTCTGTCACAAGCCGCGACGTCAGGATCCTGCCAGCAGGTCCTAAACCTGAAAGGACGAGGACAGAGAGACGGGAGGCACCTTTCTTCTCAAGTTCCTTGCTTGCTTTATTACAGAACCTCTCCCTTTTATACTCTCCAGCTGCATGGGAGCGAGGGCTGCACGGGAGCGAGGGAGCGAGGGAGCGAGGGAGCGAGAATACCGCCCACACATTCCAGAGGGAAACAATAATCACCATTATGGGTTACATCTGCTACCAGCTGAACTCGCCCGTGGCTATGGGCGAGAGCACACCCGTGCCAGCGAGGTGACTCAAAGTTCAATCATGGCTAGGCCTGTGTCAAGGCTCACCATAATGGCTCGCCATATCATTCCACAGCAAAAGGCAGAAAGGCAAGAGCACATGCACACAAGAGAGAAGTAGGCTGAACTTAAGCTTTAAATCTACTTCCATCATAACTATCACAGTCCCATCTTCCATGACGATGGAGCCCTTATGACCTAATAATCATCTCTTAAAGATACAGGACTGTTGCATTGTTTCCAACACATGAATGTTTGTGGACACAGTCAAAGCACAGCAGGCATATAATACTGCCCTCCAACCTCATGCTGCACTTTACTGGCCCTCTTGTTTTGGCTTTTTCTAATGCGTAACCCCAGATCTTCTTGCTCTTACCTATTACTCATTTATTCTTCCTGCTACCCATCTCTCATTGATTCTCAATGCACTTCCCACAGTTGATATTTAATTTTAAGCTCCTGATGCTCGTATAGGAGGCAATATTTTAAATACAACAGGCTACTCTCTATTTATTGTGCAGATATTCTTCTTATATATCAAGAGGAAGAAAGTCATATGAAGGACATTTAATAGCTAATCTATTAGGTCCCTTTTCTAACCCAGTTTTAATACTAATGCAACCCTCCAGGCAATTACTTTCATGTGCCTTTGAGGCTTTTTCACTCACTTCAAAATGGAATTCTTTACTGTGTGATGCACACAACTCTCAATGTATCTCAGCCTTGAAATATTGACTAAAATGAATATAGCTCTTCCCTGAATAAAAAAAATTGTAAATATTGTCGTGTTTAAAGTTAAAAATTTACTTTGACGTGCTTACCACAAGAGGAGTGCATCCCAAGGTCATCTGTAATTCACCAGTAACTAATGCTCTATGCTCCTCCACTGAAGGTCCACTGACCACAAGCTGGAGTGGGGGAGGGGGAGAAGAAAGGTTAAAGAGAGGCAGGAAGTAGGACTGTGTGAAATACAATGAAAAAGAATTATGAAGAGCACCTTACAGTATTCTCTGTGACTGCTCTGTACTCTAGCTGAGAGAGAGCTCACAAACTGAGCTGGAAATACTTGACCTACACAAACCTCTTGGAAATTTGAGAGACTTTATACAAAAATTGAGATTTCTGGCTTTTCCTGAGAAATCTTCAGTACTGGCCACACCGGGCCTGCATTTCTTCATCAGAACACAATTAGCTGGAAATGAGTAGCAGCTGACCCTTTCAAAACAGGCATGTATGCACGCTCCAGCTGGAAACAGCTCCCACCCCAGCCCCAGCCATAACTCTTATTCCCAACCAGAGCCACTCTCTGCTACTAGCCAAGCCTCTGCAGTCATTTACCTTTGTGACTTCTGTCCTGGAAAAAGCCCCAGGCTTATCCACTTTTAAAAAAATTTCCAAAGTGATGATTTATAGGATCAGTGTACGGTGGTCCCTTGAAATTGGTGAGGGTTACATTCCTAGAGCACCCGTGAATTGTGAAAAACCACAAATTTCGGGTATGGTCAGAAAAATGCCAATAAATGCCCATTTTTGTAGTTTAAACTCTAAATATGCTTTGCCCCCCCAGTTATATAATTTAAGATAAAATTCTGTATTAATAAAGCCTTAGAAGGTGCAAGGCGTTTTGGCAGCATCTTAGGGGGTCTCAGGACTTTAGGGAAAACACAACTGAGGACACTTGAGCTAGCTACACACAGCACCTGTTACGAGGCGAGAGTGCTAGTGTGTGGGTTACAGGACAGCAGCCAATCAGCAGCAAGGAAAACTGCATAAGGCTCTCGGATTGGCTACTTGCGAGCGGGGTCTGTTGCAAAGGATGTTACAGTTTTCGTGAAACTGTGTGGGTTTCAATTATTAGTTAGGTTCTAAGGAAAAATCCACAAACGATTGAACTGCAAACTCCGAACTGCAATTTCGTGGAGATATACTGTAATCTCGTTATTTTATTCATTTCTGAATCTTCATAGGGCCTCATGCAAAGCAGATGTTCGGTTAACCAGGACAAAGTACTTTCTGGATTAGATGGGTAAAACATCTGATGTAGGAACTGAGTGATCTTTTGAAGTTCAGACACACTACTGCTCCTGGGACATGAACTGCAGAATGTCATACTTCAGGCTCTGCTGTCTTCATGGTGGTAAAGAAATCTTTAGATGTTGTATGGGACACAGGCTCTTAGAGGGCCAGCTAGAACTAGTACAACAGAGAAACTCCTTTTATCGGAGACACTTATTAATAGATGGAGATTTCAGTGCTTAATAAAAGGTCTACAGTGCTAAGTCATTAAGTCATTTCACCCTCATTAAGATAGTTTACCACTGTGCACCTCAGTTTCTTCACTAGTAAACAGAGTTTGTTGGTAGAGGGAGCATTCGGCAGTGACACAACCCATTGTCACTTCCTCCAAGAGAAGAATTAGTGAACTATAGTTAATCCAGCACTTTCAAGTAGCTGTTTTTTATAACTAAGCTTGTTATTGATGCTTACATTATTTTAGGAAGGGAAGAGAAAGAAGATGAAAAATAATTGAAAGAAAAAATTGGAAATAGAACTACTAAGACATGTAAGAAGTAGGTAGGAATTGGAGGGGAGGAGAAGAAAAGAGAGAGAGAGAGAGAGTTATTAAATGTACCAATGCCCCACAATAAATGAAATCATTATTCAAGCCTGTACTAATAAAAATAAAAATTTTTCTACATTGCAACTAAAATAATTAATTTTGTATTTCTGATGTAGAAGTAAGTGTGAGAGTCCAAAAATGTTGTTTCTCTTACCACCTGGCACAGGCTGGCTAGGACTTTGAGACCACTGCCTTCCCGAGCCACTTGCTCCAGCATAGACACAGCAGAAGGGAAAGCCCCGCCCAGAGATCAACAGAGAACTATGCCACACTGTCTTCAAAGCTCCAGCCTGCTCCCTCAGTCACGCACCAGCCCTTGCACTAATTAGAGTGAAACAAAATAGGTGCCTTTCTGTTTGGGGAAGAAAATTAAAAATCAAGAAACTGTTCCCCGCTTTTGATGTGACCCGACACCACTGAGCATGTGAAGCGCCCCCTCTTCTGAAATGAAGGATAAAGGAAGCCCCAAGGTGCTAATTGAATTCATGTCTCCTCTACACCCTGAAGTCAGGAAACAGAATTAACACAGCAGTTTCTCTTCTTGGGATATAACTGACCCAAATGGGCCCTTTCTCAAATTAAAAATATTTTTTTAATATCCAAAAAATATTGCCAATAAGATTTTCTGGTTGATATTGATATTTGTAAAAATGTACGGTTGGAAGTTGCTGTAATATAAAGTCACCGTTCTGTTGTTATTTATCATACGTGTCTCGGCCATTTCTTTCCAGTTCTCAATTTTGCCTGTCAAAAATCTGCTCTTCCTGATTACATAGTTTGCCATTTTTGTTTCACTCTGGGTGGGAGAATTAATGGATAGGGGCAAATAATTAGAAATGGAAGGATGTGAAGTATAGAGAAGCCAAGAAAAAAAAAACTTGCATTTGTGGAGGCAAGGACATGTGTGAGGTACCACACAGTAAAAGATTGAAGAGGACACAGCATGGCAAGGATTTAAGAGTTCCCAGGTTTTCTAGTAGTGCTTAACAGCTATTTGGAAAATGCATCTCATTCATTTTATCCTCTTGCTTAATTGTGGAAAACAATACCATGCTTCTCCAATATAATACCTAATCAAGGCTACATCAAACTCTTAGAAGAACAACTGATTAAACAGTCAATGGCATTTGTCTCCATGGCCAATATGACCACCTTTTTTGAACTATATACCTATATTTCCACCTATCTGTTCACCTATGTGTCACCAATCTGTCAAAAAAAAAAATTGCATTTGTGGAGGCAAGGACATGTGTGAGGTACCACACAGTAAAAGATTGAAGAGGACACAGCATGGCAAGGATTTAAGAGTTCCCAGGTTTTCTAGTAGTGCTTAACAGCTATTTGGAAAATGCATCTCATTCATTTTATCCTCTTGCTTAATTGTGGAAAACAATACCATGCTTCTCCAATATAATACCTAATCAAGGCTACATCAAACTCTTAGAAGAACAACTGATTAAACAAAGTCAATGGCATTTGTCTCCATGGCCAATATGACCACCTTTTTTGAACTATATACCTATATTTCCACCTATCTGTTCACCTATGTGTCACCAATCTGTCTACTTACCTACTGAGCAATTTAAGGAAAACTGCAATGTCTTAATTATATTAGCCTCGGTGCCTAGCGCAATAACGCCCAACACAGAGCTGACCCCTGCACAATTTTTGTTGAATGAAGATATCCATTGCCTGGAAAGTCTCATTAAACACTGGATTGGATGTATGGACTGGTATTGGTCAATGTCCAGCACATGTTGTCCAAGTCTTTGTGGATTTTGTGTCAAGTTATGAGCTTCCCCCTTGTAGATCTGAGGCCAGGAGATGAGTCAGGTCTCTTAGTTCTGGCCTCCAACACTTTCCTCTCCGTTGAAGTCCCAGGAGGCCCTGTGTACAAAGATGGGTAAATTATGATACCAACTCAGAAGACATCCTAGATAAGGGGATGCTTGAACACTGGTGAAGGGGCAAAGTGGGAGGCACAATGCCAAGGCTGGGGAAGTAGACTGGCGGTGGCCAATGAAAAAGAGAACTTCACAAATTCCCTTAGACTTGCCAATTAAATTGAAGGGTATTGTTCATCTGTGGTATATAATTTAGCAGCTGAAAAAAGGGAGACAGAGGGCATAAAAGATGCTTTTAAGCCTTTAGTGCAAAAGAAAAAAATAGGATGTTAGCTGGCAGGAAAACCAGGGTCAACGAAGATTTTGTTTTCAGCTTTTGTTGTTTAAAATCCTTAGTAACATTGCAGTAGACAAAATCTGGGGCAAAGAAAAAATAGATCCCCTTACCCTTAGAACTCTCATTTAAAGAGGCCATAATAATTTAATAAGTGATTTGAAGTCAGCCATGACATAACCTTCAAAGATTACAAGAAATCAGACGGAAAAGCAAGGACTTTAGAGAATGTGACTCTAAAACTAAATGTCATTTTGACAGCTTTTTTCTTGGAGGTACATTTAAGATTATTTGAGTTGTCATTTTCTCCAAGAAGACTTCACTTTAATTATACAAATATTGAATATTTTTCAAGATAAAATGGTAAAGAATCTGCTTTGAAGCCTTTAGCCTTCAAACACTATTAAGTGAGATCCTCATTGGAAAAACAGTGAAGAATATGGAAATAAGTACAATCAGGTCTCATAAATGAAGCACTGTGAATGTTAATGGCACAATTTTACCAAGGCCTTTTAAAGAGCCAATAGAGAGGCTTTATTATTTCAAATATCACAGATCTAAGGCTTTATTATTTCAAATACCACAGACCCATGGCTTCCCTGTGGGAAATAGTGATATAAATATTGGTGAGATGCCTATAAAAACAGCTAGGCAAAAAATAAGCCAACAATTTGAATTGGCTACTTGAAAAGCTGCCCAACCTTTCATTTAATTGCCTTTTTGTAACAAGCCAGAAAAAAAGATCTAAACGCCAAGTTTGATGGTTACCCCTGAACATGCTCTGAAATATTTGCTATAAGGGGGATTTAAAATACAATTGCTTTGCTTTCAGCTTGAGTGCAACCAACTGGGGGAAAATTTAATTTCGCTTGCTAGTGGATCGGGCCAGCATGAGTCTCTGTGTAGTGGTGGAAGTGGCCGGTGGAGGGTAGTCCTCGGCAGTGCAGTGTGAAAGAGTGGAAAAGGCAGACATGCATTTCAATCCTGCCTCTTCCACTTCGTAGCGTAGGGTCCTGCATAGGTTATAAGTCTTTCTCAGCTCCAGTTCCCTCATCTGTAAAATGACTGTGTTAATATCAAATTTAGAGACCTATAGTTAGGATTAAAAAAACAAAATTCATTCATTCAGCAAAGTTATATTGAATATCACTACATGCCAGGCCCTGTGTGAGGCTCTTGGGATACAAAGGAGAACAAAGCAGGTGACATTTTAGTGCAGAAGACAGACAACACAGAAAATACCTAACAGATGTGCACCTAATAGAGGTGAGGACAAGCACTCCAGAGAGGGTGAAGCAGGGGTGGCAAATGTTTTTTTTCACCTGGCGACAGTGCCTCCCATTCAGGAGGCTCTTGTTACAATGTGACCGTGACCCTCCCGTAATTGAGAGCTGGGACCTACATTCTCACCCCTTCATACTAGGTGGGTTTTATGTCTGTCTAATAAAATAGAGTACATGGATGCGATGCTACGTGAAACTCCAAATCTAGGTCACACGAGACGCCACAACTGCCGCTTTGCTTGTGGGAACCCTCACCTGTGAAGCCACTATGTAAAGAGCCCACTGTCCTGAGGCCAGCGTGCTGCAAGGAAGTTCAAAGTAGCCCATGAGGCCAGGCCTCATGGAGGGACTAGAGACCACATGCTTGCCAGCTTACAGCTGCTAAAACCCTGTATTGTTCGCCTTCTAGCCACCGTTTAACTGCAGCCCTACAAGAGATCCTGAAGCCTGAACCTTTCAGCTGAGAGAATTTCTGATCCTCAGCAACCACGAAAAATAAAATGATTGCTGATGTTTTAACCCTCTGCATCTGGCGGATGATTTTCTACACTGCAATAGATAACGAGAACGGTAGAAAAGAGGAAGCAGAGCGTATAGTTTTATACAGAAAGAAAAGACTGCTTTGGGATGTCTGCTCAATGAATTTGGTGAGCTAAAATATGAGTGGGCTGTTGCCAGTGAAGAGGGGGCCTGTGTGCTCAGGGGACAGCAAGGAGACCAGAGTGTGGCTGGAGCAGAATAAGAAAGGGAGACTGGGATCACAGATGAGGTAAAGGCCAGAAGGTAGAGTCCGGCAGGCCACTGTGAATATCAGTTTTTACACTGAGTGGGGAAGCCACTGGGTGGTTTTGAGCACAGCATTGACAGAATGTGGTTCGCGTTTTCACAGGAACACTCTGGATGCTCTAATAACACTGGTAGTTTTGCTGTTACTTTTATTATAGCATCTCTAAAAAAGCAGAGATCTTTTCAGTAAGCTTAAGCTGTGTATCCGACTCCTCCTAAGCTACTAATGGTAAAGATGGATACAAATCCACACGGGCTCTTTCTCACGGTAAGGAAGTAGCTTTAGAGGAATTTGGCCCCTACCCTATGTGGCGACTGGTGGCTCCTATCACCTCAGCTAGTCACAGTCATTACAAGCTGAGGCTCTGGGGCCAAGATGAAGTGAATCCTGGCTTTACCACTCAAGAGTGGTCACCGTGAGTTACATTAACCTCTCTATGCTGCTGTTTCCCCATCTGTCGAATGAGGATGATAACTATACCTGCTTCAGGAAAATCAGGTGAGGGTTAACAGAAAAGGCATCTTAGCATTTAGTCGGTGCCCGCACACAGGATGACCTCACTCGTGTCACAGGGTTTAATGCCCAGGCATCCATCCGACTCCCATCATTCTGCCTCTCTCAATGCTGCATTAGAAAAAAATCATTATTCCACCCTCAATCCCCTCTGTACCACCTCCAACCACATTCTCCTTCCTTTTTGGCTCAATAGCAATTTTCCCTGGAAAATTTCACCCTTCCCGGTGTAAAACTCCTAATCTCATTTTCAATGTCCAAATGAATTCTACCTTTCCTCTACTGTGATTTTTAATTCCCTTCTATGACTACTTGTGTCAAAATCTTAGCCCATGACATCTTAGGTGACCCAGATTCTCCTACCCTTTTCAGACTCTGCTTCTGATTTTCTCGTATCACCTACATATTCCACACATTCTTCTTGCATGTCCTCTCCTACCTCTGGAACCCCTTCTCATCTTTCTGGAGAATTTTAGACCTGGATCATGGTGCTTTTCCCCTGTTGCTACTCTTGAGGACTTCCAACATCCTTGCTAATAGCGCTCCTCACAGTCTGGGCTCAGTTTCTCAAGCTCTTCATCTTTTCTACCATCGTCTTGGCTCCTGTCAGTTATATCACAGGCATAACTATGCCACAATTATAACTCAGTCTGTGCAGTTTCTCAGAGGTTATTCACCTCCATGACCTACAGGTGGGAGGAAAGAGTGCTGCCCTGAGAATCCAAAGCTCTGACACTGCTGCTAGTGGACTGGGTGACTTGAGCATGTCACCTTCTCTTCCTGGGCCTTAGTTTTCTTCAAGAAGGGGACAGGACAACTCAATAGAAAGAACATTAACCTTTAATACCAGCTTATCCATGTGACCTTGAGCAAATCACTAAAGATTGCTGGCCCACCTTCCTTCCTTCCTTGCATCCTTCCTTGTAAATTGAGGTGGCTAGAGGAAACTCCTTTGATGATTCCTACACGTATAAAAACTATACATTGTCTAAGATTGAAATTCTATTTTTTTTTCAGTACCAGGGATCCAACTTGGGTCCTTGTGCTTACGAGGCAGACAGTGGCGCTACAGAGCAAAATCCCCAGCCCTGAAATTCTATTGTTGATCCTCTCTCCTCCTTCCTGGTCTCTGACTTTCTTACTCTCATTGGAGCAGTTTTTCATTCTCATCAGGTTCACTGAGCCTAATTTGGGTCTTCCACCCTCCACTCTCCTGTGCTGCACACTTTTATTGGACCACATGCATTTTCCCAGGTCCCTGTACCACTCCCTCTCTGCTCTTTGTTAAGACCTTAGCATGGAAAACCCTTGCCTGCTTCAACACAGCTCCAGGGCCTCCTTCATAATCCACCTCAGGGTCACCTCCAGGAGGCTCTCTGGACACCCTCATCGTAGCACCTTCTATCCACCTCCAAGGCACACTGCTTATCTCTACCCATAGCCCTTATGACATGATATTATCTCTTCGACTTTGAGACCTAGGATGATATCTGTCATCTTTTTATCCCTCACTCCTGAAACCAAGCATGGCACATGGCAGTTGGTGGATTGCTACTTAGTGAATGATCTCAGCATGCTACAAAGAATATGTGTGCTGTTCCAACCTGGACTGTAGGATTTGCATTAGAAAGGCCAAGTTTAAAATCTCTGTCCCTTCATTTTGAAAGTAACATATTTTCGATAGAACCTGTCCTTCAGAACACCTCACCAGGGTATCATGTTCTTTGACTTTTTCAATGAATCCCCTCCCCTCCCAAGGCCAGCCCCTATATGTTTCTTATTTTTAACGAAGTATTATATTCTAAAAGCACAAACTTTGGAACCGTGCCTGACTTCTGTAGATGTCCTTGTCTCATTTTGTAGTTCTCTTTCCTGGACTCCCCCGATGGCTTCCTAATGAGTCTCCCTAATTCTCTATCACACTTGCATATACTTCACATTCAGACTAATTTTCCAAAAGTACAATACTTTCCTTCCTGTCTAATAAGATCCAAATCCTTCAGCTCTCATTCAAGCCTTTCATCATTTCATTTTAACCTGTTTCTTAGAGCAATGGTACGGAGAAGGCAAAGAACACTGTCCTCAAAGTTGAAGGATTTTTACAAGTAGTTGGGTCTTGAAAGAGCAGTGGAATTCAGCTTGGCCTAATGATCAGAGTCACAAAAAGATGAACATTCATAAGCACAATTCTGCCATTTATTTGAGTCACCCAACAGTCACTGCATTTTGCTGAATCTAGTTTCCTTATTCAAAAATAAGAGACATATTGACATTCCTAGATTCTATTGAGCCAGAAAGCAAGTATTTGATCTGGGAGCACAGAATCCCCACCTTTGTGTTGTGAATCATTTCTTAGATAATCAAATCTAAATGTGCAGGGGATATGGTTTTCGTATTTGTTTGTCTGTTTTCTCCCAAGATAAGTTCTCTGTACTGACAACAGTAGACAATCTCCTTGGAGAAAACCTCTGTTCTTCATGGTTATGTGACTTATGAAAATGCAGGGTAAGTATGAATCTATCATACCAGGCTAAGGCTGCAGAACAAGATATTCTGTATCTTCATATAAGAGCTGCCTCAACCCAAGAAGAGCTTTGGGAAGAAGAGGCTTACTTAATAAAGAGTACAGAGATGATTATAGTTTGAATTGTATCCCTTCCTAAAAGATAAATTGAAGTCTGAGTTCCCAATATCTCAGAATGTAACTGACTCGGTCACTTCCCTTAACCCTGGGACACAATACCCAACACCAACAACTTAAGGGAGGAGAGGTTTATTTTGGTTCACACTTTTTACAGGTTTCAGTCCATAGTTGGCTGGCCCCAAGGCAGAGCAGCAGGGCAGAGGAAAAGCAGGTCATGGCATGGCATCTGAAAAGCAGAGAGAGTGTGAAGGGAGGAGTGGGGAAGAGATAAACCCTTCCAATCCGGGCTCTCAGTTACCCAGCTCTTTGATCAGACTCCACCGCCCAACAGCAAATCAGCTATACTATAAACCCATCAGTAGACTAATCCATTGATCATTATCATGTCCCCCATGACCCAGTCACCTGCCAACAGTTCCGCTCACGAGCACATGAGGTGAGGGGGTGGGGATATCTAAATATAAATAATAACAGTGACCATATGTGGGAATAAATTGGGATCTAGAATATTCTCTAAAAGGCTTATGTGTTAAAGGCTTGGTCTACAATACAGCAGTATTCAGGGGTGGGCTTCCGGATCTTGAGGGTTCTGACTTCAGCAATGGAATAATCCATTGATAAGTTCATAGGAAGGGGTGGAAACTAGGAAGTGAGACCTGGGTGGAGGAAGTAGGTGAGTGGAGGCATGCTCTGGAAGGACATCTCTTGGACCCAACCCCTTCCTCCTCTTTTCCTCTTTGCTTCTTTTCTGCCATAAGGTAAGCAGCCACTTCTCCACTTCAGGCTCCTGCTACCATGATAAATCTGCCTTGACTAAGGCCCAAAGCATGAAGTCAGCCGACCTTAGACTAAAACCTCTGAAACTGTGTGTCAAAGCAAATCTTTCCTCCTGCAAGTTGGTTTTCCAGGTATTTCTTCACAAAAGAGAGATCACTAACACATAAGGTCATTGCAGATGTAATTATTTGAGATGAGGTCATACCAGCCAATACAAGCTTATTTATTAGAAATGGAGGAGAGACAAAGAGACACAAGAGGGGAAGATATCGTGAGACAGTGAAGGCTGAGAAGGAACGATTGCAAAAACTGCCAATGATTGGTAGCAAACAACAAGGAGCTAGGAAGAAGCAAGGAAAGATTCTCTGACAGGTTTCAGAGGGAGCATGGCCCTGCCAATACCTTGAATTTGGATTTCTGGCTTCTAAACTTACAAGAGAAAGTCTGTTGTCTTGAGAACCCTAGTTCATAGTATTTGTTATACAGCAACCCTAGGATGCTAATAAATATCTACTTCTCACCGGGCATGGTGGTGCACGCCTGTCGTCCCAACACTTGGGAGGCAGAGGCAGGAGTATCGCCCCAAGTTCAAGGCCAGCCTAGGTCACATAGTGAGTTCAAAGCCATCCCTGAACTATACAGTGAGACTCTGTTTCAAAAAACAAAACAAAATCTTCTTCTCAAAGTAAAGAAGCACTATCTCCACTCCCTAAGATTTGAGATAACCCTGTAGTTAATAAAAGTAAAAATAAAATACCTTGGAGAAAAAAGGTGTCTTCAATGGTAACCCCACTCTGCCACAATCCTTGAGAAAAGCAGGCCCTGTGCAGCATGTGGAACAGACTAGATGGAGCTCTTCTAGTTTCAGCCACTGCGGCACAGTGCAGGTACTGGGGGAAAAGGGTAGACCATGGACACAGAAACCAAAAGGACTGTTGTGCAAGACTAACAGTAAGCTGGTACTTTATATAGCTCTACCAGTTTATGGCTGCAGTTCAGTCTGATCATTTCATCTCTATGCCACACTAATATTCCAATAGTATAATATCATGCCTGCTCTAACTTGCAAGTTAGACATGAGACACAACTCCAGCTTCAGAAGGAACCTAGCTCAGCTGGAAAATCAAATAGGGTGAACAAGTGCAATGAACTCTACAAACATAGATTCCCCCTAAAAAATTCATATACTGAAATTTGAATCCCAAGGTGATAGTATTAGGAAGTAGAGCCTTTGAGAGTTGATTAGGTCCTGAAGGAAGAGCTTTCATGAATGGGACTCTCACCATTAACGAAGACACCCAGAGAGGTTTCTTGTCCTGTCTTTCATGAGATAACACAACCCAGAGCCATTATCTATGAGGAGATGAGTCATTACCAGATCTTCTAAAGATTACCAAATCTTCAAGAGTCTTAATCTGGGACTTCCTGGTTTCCATAGCTGTGAAAAATAAATTTCTATAGTTTATACACTATCCAGTTCACATAATTTTGTTATAGCAGCAGAACAGACTAAAATAACAATAATCCACAGATTTACCAAGGAACAGTTTCTAAAAGTGACATCACGTGGCTCCAGTTCTTTCTTCTCCTGATATTTAGAAACAAGACTGACATCTTATGGACAAAGACTGGACTGAGAAGAGGAAGAGGAAGTTCTCGACAAGACATTGGACTTCCTGCTGA